CCCCCCCCCAAAATGGTTGGCCCCGAAGCGACCGATCAATTTCACGTGCCTGAGAATGAAAGGGTGAAAAAGGGTTTCACGCACGGTGGCGCCTGACGTCCATCACAGGAAGTTTTCCGAGGTCTGCGATTGCAGCTGGCGATCTTGATTTTGATCGATCTGCCGATTGACTTCTTTTGCCATCCCCCCCGAGTCCATCCGTGCGCACTCCAGCTGGACCGCGGCGAATGTAAAGCCGTTCCGTGTTCAAGAAGATATCGTGGCGTGTTGTTTGAGCGACGCTCAAAATCCAGGACGTGCGATCGATACGCCGGGGAATATTCAAGGAAGAGGCGCACTTTCCCATCCAACGCTTAGCACAGGCTGAGCGGGACCAATGTGACACGTCCAAAGCTTTTCTGTGGGGGGTGTTCGAAATCTCGCCCGGACAGACACGGGGCCGAGTTTGGTTGGACGCGGCGTTTTGGATCGTCCCGACATCCAGATGGAGAAGAGTTTAGCGTTGCAAAACGGGGGAGGTCCCCCGCTCCCACGTCCCATCAAAATCTGCTGGCAGATGCCGCCTCTGTGCTTTTGGGCCACGGAGGAGTTGGGGCAGGTGGTTCACCGGGGCCAAGTTCGACTGACCTCCAAACCAAAGAGTCCAAACTATGTCGGCTGAATCGAAAGGGCACTCGGCGGCTGCTCTCGACCTCCATCCTGCGCGCTGACGCGAGTTTGCTAACAAAAGTTGCGGGGCCCCCGGCTCGTTTTTTGCGGGAGCCGCGCCGCTGTCAAACCGTAATTGCTAGGCTGGCTGTTCAACGGCGTCTGGTGGCCTCCAATTGGACACGGCGTCTGCTGGAGCGCCCTCTAATTGTCTTTGCGAGCGCGCATTCCAAGCGGAAGCGCCGCTTTGGTATCACCGACACCCGGCGCGACCACTTCGGCTCCTCGTATGTCGTTTGAAATGTCGGTGCCAAACGGGGCTGCTGAATGTTTGATAGCATTTGAAACCAGTCTGAAATACCCCCACACCCCCACATAAATTCCACTTAATTGTAGTGTCTGCGAAACATCTTGGCAGAAAATGAATGCGTGTTTGTTTGTTTTGAACCGGTTATCCTCAAATGCGTGTTTGTTTGTTTTTTAACCGGTTATCCTCAAATAGAAAGCAGTTTTTATGAAGGAAACCACAAACACGGAGTTGGCGCTTGTTATTTTGGGATGTGCGCTTGTCTGTTTTTTTGCACTGTCATCATGTGTGATCTGGGAACTCACGCGTGGTTGTTGCTCACCGGGTATGTGATCCCGTTGATTCACACAGTACAGCGCATTCCTCGAGCAGGAATGCCCCGCCGTGTACCGGTCCCGAGTCCGCCGCGGGAAATGCTCGTCCGCGGGTTCGTCTTCCGCCGCAGGAGCCGCGGCGGCCTCTCGGCGCGCAGGTCGCGGGTCGGCTTGCGGCCCCGGGCTTTTCTGTGTGGAGTTTGCGTCTCCTCGCCGTGCCGGCGCGGCTTTTCTGCGGGTATTCCGCTTTCCTCTCACCTTCCGAAAACACGCGGGGTGGCTTGAGCGAATGCGCTAAATTGACCTCGGCTGTCGGTGCGAGTGCGATTGCTCGTTGGCAACCGCTTCAGGGTGTACCCCCCCCCCCCCCAAAATGGTTGGCCCCGAAGCGACCGATCAATTTCACGTGCCTGAGAATGAAAGGGTGAAAAAGGGTTTCACGCACGGTGGCGCCTGACGTCCATCACAGGAAGTTTTCCGAGGTCTGCGATTGCAGCTGGCGATCTTGATTTTGATCGATCTGCCGATTGACTTCTTTTGCCATCCCCCCCGAGTCCATCCGTGCGCACTCCAGCTGGACCGCGGCGAATGTAAAGCCGTTCCGTGTTCAAGAAGATATCGTGGCGTGTTGTTTGAGCGACGCTCAAAATCCAGGACGTGCGATCGATACGCCGGGGAATATTCAAGGAAGAGGCGCACTTTCCCATCCAACGCTTAGCACAGGCTGAGCGGGACCAATGTGACACGTCCAAAGCTTTTCTGTGGGGGGTGTTCGAAATCTCGCCCGGACAGACACGGGGCCGAGTTTGGTTGGACGCGGCGTTTTGGATCGTCCCGACATCCAGATGGAGAAGAGTTTAGCGTTGCAAAACGGGGGAGGTCCCCCGCTCCCACGTCCCATCAAAATCTGCTGGCAGATGCCGCCTCTGTGCTTTTGGGCCACGGAGGAGTTGGGGCAGGTGGTTCACCGGGGCCAAAGACGCGTGTTTTATGCTGCGGGGGGGCTCGGCAGACAAGTTCATCCGAGGACGTTCTCGTGTTTGGTGGCGTCCAACGTGAGAGAAACATTTTTGTTCTTCGTGTCTTGTCCTCGTCACGCCCCCGTTGACGCGTTCACAACGTCGTCGTCGTCGCTCCGCGTAAGCCGAGGTTGTCGGTCATTTGAGAGCAGAGGTCGTGCGTTGTTCCTCGAACGCAGGTCGGATCCGCCGGGTCACGCGCACGTCGCTCCCGGCCCCCCAAATGCGCTTTCGGGGGTCTGGCCCGAGTGCGCTTGCGGGAGGTCCCGAGACGAGTGGAAGAGTTTTGCTGACGGCGGGGGCAAATTTGTTGAATTGGCTGAACGTCACCATTTGGACTTGGGGGGGTCACTTTGACAGCTTGCGAGAGCGAGAAACGGCAAAGGCCGCAACTTTTCCAGCAACCGCGTCCATCCATCGACTCACTCTTCCATCTGTTCGACCTCCTCATCCGCCCGGTCTTCCGTCCTTCCATTTGCCAAGATTCATCCGTTTGCCATCCCCTCAGCGCATCAGTGCTGTTGTCCATCCAGACCTGCAGTGGATGATTGTTTTACCCACCGGGCAGTCGCTAATTCTTGTTCCGTCCATCCGTCGCGCATCCGTCCCACCATTCCCCAATTCTTTGTTCATCAATCCATCCATTCTTTCCCGGGCCGGCTCGCTCTTGTGCCGCCCGTTTCCCTCCCCGTTTGCGCTGCCATTCATCCAATCTTATCTTTTAGCCCGAGCGCTCATCCGTTCCTCCCTCATCCGACCATCGAGCGACCACCCACGTTTGCGGAGGTTATCCCTGGCCGGCAGCCGAGCTTTCGCCGCTCCCTCGGGTGCATATATCGTCGAGAGGGCGGCCCGGTGAGTTCAAGGCGGCCCGCCTTTTGTCTCGTATCTCGTCGAAATCTGCCACCTGCGGAGAGACCCTCCGCGCGGGTCGGCCCCGCCCCTTCCCGTGCGCTCCGCCGCCGCGCTCAATAAAAGGCCAGCCGTAACCTCCTTTCGCGGTCGGCAGGAACATGGCGTGAAGTGCGTAGACGGGGATCGGCGAGACGCCCATTGGATGTTTTTGTTGACACGATCTCCCTTCCCTCCACTCGGATTCCGAAAATCGTCAATCGGTCGTCGTTCTTCCACCTCGCTGCGGCTTTCCATTCCTGCTCGCGATTCCCACGTGCGCCGACTGTCCCCGGCCGGCTTTTTCCCGCCGCTATTCGGTGAAAGGAGCGCCCAACGTGTCATCGCCGCTGCTCTTTGCTCACTCACACGTGATGTGCCGGTGCTTGTTTTTTTTTTGGTTGCGGAAAAACACCAAATATCCTGTCGTTGAAACCTCCGGCGGGCGAACAATGCGCACACGCACACACACACACACACACACACCGCCCCCCTCACTGACTTGCTTGACCATTTTAGGCTCTTCCTATACTTTTTCTCCCCCCCTGCTTCAGTCGCATGCGCCGGGAGGGGTTTTGGAGGACGGCTTTTCCTGCTCCATGTGCACTGGAGCCAACAGAGAGGAGGAGAGAGAGAACTTTTGTTCGTCAGCCTCCAACTTGCAGAGGAAGTTGCCAGTCCGGCCCTTCCCACACCCGCACCCGCACCCGCACACACACACACACACACACACACACACACACACACACTTTTCAAGACTTGAACCACAGCGGCAAAGCGAGGCCGGAAAAAGCTTTGGGACATCTTGTTTGTGATGCTTTTCCTCCAAGTTTTGCGAGCGGGTTGGTGCAGCGTTCCCAGCAGCTCTCTGGAGCATTTGACCGGGACGGGATTTCTGTCGACGCACCGGTGAGTCCTCCCTCGCTCCCCCCCCCTCCGTGCAACTGCATTGACCGAGTCATCCCAAAAGAGTCGACTCGAATAACAGTCGGCGAAGCCGAGCGCTCTTTTTGCCTCGGCGCGTTTGTTTTGACGACGAACAAAAGGTGCTTTAGCGACACGACCCCCCCTGCCTTGCCGCCCTCGTTTCAATGTCATGATTTGCGCCGTCTGGTCACCGCAATGTTGCTGTCGAGAGCCGCGGGCGGCGTGGACGTTTTGAGCTTTTTCCCGTGCGGCTGCGCGCTGTCGGCGGAGCTCCTTGTGGTGAATGACGACGTGCCACTTGGAATGCAAACAAAGCCGACCCGTCGTCGCGCCGAGGCCGCAAAAATTGAAGCGGATGGTACGCTGCCGGGGTTTTTTTTTTTTGGGGGGGTGCAGAAATGCAATCGAAGAAGTCTGGCAATGGACAGACGCGAATGTGAACAGCAGCAAGAAGCGTCAGTCGCGTTGGGCGTCGCAAAGCTTTTTTGAAAACCCGAACAGCAGCAGCATTCGATGGCCAACTATCCGTCCATCCCGATGGCTCCCCCCAGTCGTTGAGATCCCGCCGATAGCGCGGGATCAGCACGAATGCGCGTCGAGGCCGCTCGGCGACCTATTCGGACCCTCTCCCCCGTTTCTTTCTTTCTTTCTTCGTTTTTGCGCCGCGGGGCCGAAAGGCATCGCTGATGCGCTCGCAAGGCGTCCTTTTTTTGAAGAAGACGTCACCCTCACAACCTCGCGGACTAAACCCGGCAGAGACGGCCTGCGGCGACGCCTCGGGACCCCGTCGCGCCTTTTGCGTCACGAGCCAAATGGGCGGCGGCGGCTGTGTAATCGATACGGCGTGTCCGAGGTCCACGTCAGGGCTGAGATCACGGGTCGATGTTTCCGAAGTCCGCGCCCGACGCACCGAAGCAAACGACAACGGTCCTTTCAAAAGACGCGCGAGGACGTCGGCATCTCTTTGAGCGTGATGACATTATGGGGGGAGGCTTGAAGACTTGAAATCGCCCATCGCTGCCAATCGAAGCGGAATGGAGGGCGCAGACACGGGATGCTGTCAATTGGAAAGGTGAGGAGGCCGTGGAGAAATCATTCGTCTCGACGGACGTTCTCGGCCGAGAAGAACGCGCCCTACGATGCCGAAGGAAGTCCCGAATGACGGCGTCATGGTTGTTTCGCCGACGATCGATCACCAAAATAGACGACAAGGGTCATGCCGACCATCCAAACAATGGCCGGGTGAAAATAGCCTTTCCTGTTTTCCTCGTGCGTCAACGCAACATTTCGTGGAAGTCGACTTGAACGTATCGGGGGGCGGGGGGGCTGCTTTTCTTCAGCCCCTCCCTCCACACCGGCCGGAACCATTCGTTCGTAAGAACAGGAAAGCGAGACGTGAGCGTTGCGCTTCCGGATGTGACAAGCCGGCGGAGACCCAAAAGCCGCGGGCTTCCATTGCCCCCCCCCCCCCCCTCGTCGCTCTGAAAGCAAAGCGCCACCTCTGGACTCTTGTCAATCGGCCGGCTGTTGTTTGCATTGCAGATGCCTCCGTGACTCTGGATCCAACGTACTTTGACGTGTGTGTGTGTGTTTGCTTTTGTGTCAGGGCGGCCAAATGAAGCGTTGAGCTTGAAGACCAAAGATCACAAGCCGGCCGGAGCGGGCCGGGCAGAAAAGAAGGATCCGCAAATTTTTTTCTCATCTCCGATTCTTCTGCCGACAACATGAGCCGCGACTGAAAAGATTACGCGGTAAGCGCTCCGGGTCCGTCGCGTTCCCTTTGACCTCTTTGCCTCGCCGGCCGCGTGACATGTGCTCTATACACGTGTGTGGATTTGATGCTCGGATGGCCCCGCCCCTAAATGGAGTCAAATCATAGCCCTTTCCCACTGCCCCTGGAGCTTTGACGCATTGGCCGATCGTCATCCTCCGCGTCCAAAAGAATCGTTTTGTTCGCAACGTTTGAAATGAAAGCTTCGCCACCCAAAGCGCTCAGGGTTTCGGGATTCGCACCTTCGCGACAGCTGCGGCTCACCCTGGTCCCGGCGTGGGCAAGAGAGAGAGAGCGCGATCGAGCATCCGCACTTCAGATGTGTTCCACTTGATGGCTCAAATGCGGCGCTGGAAAGGCGCCAGATGTGGGCCAAAGCCAAGCCTGAAGCGAAGAAACGTCTTCTCTGGGGAAACGATGCAGCCTTCCTCTCCGAGCGCCCGCAAAAGTCCCCCTGAAGCCGTCTCGCGCCAAAAAGCGTACAGAGCGGCTTTTGTTCGGCGTCCCGCCCACCCGCCGGCAAACCGAGCTCCGCCGCGTCTCGCGGGCTTGACGCCGCGGAACGTCGGCTGTCGTCGACCGCCGTCTCGCCGCGCCGCTCAAGATGTGCGCGTCTGATCTGTTCCAGCTTTGAAGAAAAGCCGCCATGGACGTGAAGAAGAAGGAAATGGATCTCCTGAGCAACAGCATGGCCGCTTACGCGCACATCAAGGGTGAGTTGCGTTCTCGTGGGCCATCTCCGCGCTCGGCAACGTGCTGTATGTGGAGCAAAAGTCATTCGTAGAAAAAAACAGTCCAACTAAAAGTCAGGCAGCGGCGACGGACCCCCCGCACCCCGACCCCCCC